AAAGAAACGTCGATTTTAGTGCAAGAATACTTACTACCATAAAATTGTCGATTTTAATTTTAAAAAATACCTCGAGAATTCGCCAAGGCGAATTCGGCAGGCGAACGGGATCCTCCGCACCCACGGACGCCACGGACCCCACGAACCAACTAATCCGAGACGAGTCCTCCGTCTCGAAAGCCATCTTAAATCTCATCCCGGGCCTCCACCCGACCCTCATCCCCGACCAAACCTCCGAAGCCCTCACCACAAACTCCGGCGCACCCGCGCGCGGGTAATAAACCACCTCGAACGCCCGCCCACCGCAAACCTTCTCCATAACCGACCCCACACAATCCCCACCATTCTCAGTATTATTATTCTTTCCAAACCCTCGAAAGCACGCGGGCCCACACCCGATTCCCGATTTCGCCCTCCGAACCCCGACCCGAATCTCCCCCTTCTCTTCCCTCACGAAAACGACCGAGTCCCCTGCCACCAACCTTTTCGAATTTACGAAAACGCCCCAACCGGTCGTCAATAGGTGCCTCCTTGGGGTTCCGCGGTAAATATGCCTGAATTTCCATATTTGCCCTTGGAAGTCACGGGCTAGGATCGTCTGCACTGGCGGCTCGGACGAGTAATCGAGCTCTGGGAATATCGTCTCGGCGCAGTACCTCGGGACCGAAAACCCGCCGCCGTTGTTCGCGTCGGATTGGGTCAATGTCTTGGCGAACGAGTTGGGTTTTTCTTTTTCGATGCTTTCGTTGGCTTCGGAAAAGAATCCATTTTCTTCATTGATGAAATCGAGCTCGTTTGGGACTAACCGGATTTTCGCATAGACCTCGTCTGTCTCGGGATCGGCGGAGTACTTAACGGACGACACCTGGCAGGGGATGAGTGGTGGGATGCTCGGGAATTTGGAGAAATCGAGGTTTTCGTTCGAGTGCTCGGCATGGCCTTGAGGGAAATAGTAGACTTTGCTGTTCGGAGATGGGATTCGAGCCATGCCACCGGCACAGGCAAGCCATAATTTGGGGTCTAAGCATTTTTCCAACTGATTTAGGGGTTTCTCTAGTGAATGCATAACATTTATCATTCTTTTTTTTTTTTTTTTACNTTACCTTTTCTCTAACAAATTTGTAGGGCTAAAAACATGGAAATGCTGAGGAAATCAAGAAAATCTCTGCAGGATCACAACAGATTTTTCTGCAGAAACACAAAAGGGAGCAACAAATGTTAAAGGCCCAGAAAATAAAACTAAACAACACTCAAACACATGGCTTATACAGTTATACACACAAACTGGATTAAAATCAACTATAAGAAGATGCCCTTTTTTGCTTATCAAAATAGAACAATATATGAAGAACTGTAAATTGCAACAGCAGTTACAGACAGTTTCATTCTAGTCATTTCAAGGGGAAAACATGATCAAGATTCGAACTTTAAATTACTAACATATGAAGAACATAGAAAAATCAGAAAGAGGGATAGTGAACTTACTAAAGAAGGCGTCTTTTTTTTTTCAAAAGCTATGCCTTGGTTGTGCCCTTTTATCTCTCTCCTCCGAAAAGGGCTTCACCCTCGCCCCACTTTAATTTGTCAAATCAAATCACAATAATAAAATTACAAAGCAGAGAAGATTAATTGAGCCCTTTTACTCGAAGTTAAAGCACAAAAAAAGGTTTGATTTGAGTGGTGGTTGGTCGTGTAAGCCTTTTACACAACATAAAACTGCGAAAACTGTCTTACTTTTGCAGTGTGGAGGAGAAAAGAAATTGAATGAGGGTTTTATTAGGAGAGAGAGAGAGAGAAAGAATGAGGTTATCTTCTTGATCGGGACACAGACAAGAGACGAAAAACACACAACAGTTACAGAAAGAGTGCGTGTGGGTGTAGTGTGTGTTTGTGTGAAAAGACACCTGAAGTTGGAAGCTCATTCGTCAAAACAGAGGTGGCAGAGAAAATTGAATTTGACGACATGGAATGAGTCCAATGTTAAAATTTTACTTATTTGACAATAATTAATATTAAAATTAAAATTGTATTAAAACTAGTAAATATTCTGTACACATGCACAAATATACATAAAATATTATAAATAATATTTGAGATTTAATATTAAAATTTTAGATAATGAATATATTACATTTTTAAAATCTAATTATTAAGAAAAATAAATTAATGAATGTTTATTATTAGATAATAGCGGTTTGATTATTATTATTATTATTATTATTATTACAAATAAAAATTATTTATAAGATTCTAAAGTTATTTGACTATGCTATTAAAATAATTTACTAATTGTTTTTAAAGAAATTTTTTCATGAGATACAAAAGAAAAAGATAATATTAATGTTAAAATAAATAACTTAAAACAATTGTTTATAATTATGCAATTTATATCTATTGTGAATTATTATTAGTTGGTATTAGCATTAATTATTATATATTATAATAGAAAAATACATTATTACACTCAATAAGATGCATTAATGTGAGAAGTAAAAAAATATTAATGATAAATTTTATAACCGAAAATGGAGGAAAAATTTTAGAGGTTTTATTAAATAGGTTTTATTAAATGCTATTAGCTAGTAATTATATATATAGATAAAATATACTAGTACGACACCCGTGTACTACACGGGTTGTTTGGAAAAAAAAATATAAAACATCAAATAATAGAAAAAACACATGTTGTTATATAATTATTTCAACTCTTTAAAATATATTAAAAAGTTCGTGTAATATTATATAACTATTTTAATGTATTTTTATAGATATTCTAAAAATTTCAATGTATTTTTATAGATATTCTAAAAAGATTTAAATAATTTATTTACCATGTTGGATTGAAAAAATATAATATGGAAGTGGCTATATATGTGTCTAATTTATTTTTTTGTAAAATTATAGTATTTTTTTATTAATTTAAACGATCTAAAAAGGTTATTTTTTACATTAATTATATAAATAAAATAATATATAAAGCTAAATTTTTTATTTTGGTATTTCGTGAATTACGTCTAATTTTTATTATAATATTAAGCAAAAAATCCTATTTACACGAATAAGAATCCTATTATCAAAATTTATTTTATTTTTATTTCAACTATTTAAAATATATTAGAAAGATAATGTAATATTCTATAACTATTTCAATGTATTTTTATGGTTATTCTAAAAAGATTTAAAGAATTTATTTACCATGGTTGGATTGAAAAAGATATAATATGCAAGTGGCTATATATGTATCTAATTTATTTTTGTAAAATTATAGTATTTTTTTTAATTTAATCTATATAAAAAAAAAGTTATTGTTTACATTAATTATATAAATAAAACTCTATACTTATATTAAAAGGTATACCATTTACCAGATTTAGTATAAAGAAAAGTCAACAACATTTATTACATTACTATTTCCGTATTATATAATCTATACTTATATAAAATGAGATTCTATTTACTACATTTACTATCCATAAAAGTCAACTGCATTAAATGCCATTACTATTTTGGTATTATAATATTTTATTTATTTAATTGATTTATTTGTTTGTTTTATTTTAAAAAGGTGAGTATAATAAAAAAAAAATTAATAATAAAAAAATCAAATACCAAATAAAAATATACACTTTGACTTATTTGATTATATTTGGTATTTGATTATACCAAATATATTCCTATTTAGTATATACATTAAATACTTACTAAAGAATTTATTTGTTTTATTTGTCAAAGTTAAGTATAGATTTGTTTATATTATCAAATCATAAAAAAATATTAAATCCATATTGTAAAAAAAAATCACATAATTTTATAACAATTCTACTACATTATTTAACAATATTTCTTTTTTATTATATAATAAAATAATAATTAAATATTATATGGTGAACAACAATAAGTAAAACTGTTACTTTCTCTTATATCAAGGGATAAATTTATATGCTAAAATTAAATTTTTATTAGTATAAATATTTTACTGAGATAATATATTAATTATTTTACAATAGCCCTAACATGCTCATATTTAATGTTTTAAAAGATGTAGAAAAAAAACTTATAATAACTCTATTGTTTTTTAGACTTAAACGTTGATTAAAAGAGGTAAAAATTCCTAATTTTTTAGACTTAAACGTTGATTAACACCATAGATTGAGAGTTTATATTTAGTAAAATTCCTAATTGTAATAAAAAAATTAATTTTTGCTATATTTTAGAATATCTTTAAATTCATTATAAAAAAAAAGAAAAGAAAAAAAAAACTATAATGAAAAAAGCAAGTCAGTTATATATCGATTTGCTGTACTCCTCAAATCACATTCATAATTTGGCTACAAGGAAAGGAAACTCATTGATTAAATATTATTTTGTCAGTAATCTTAATGTACAATAGACTTTAAGACTCCACTTGAATATTATAAAACTTTTATTGAACATTGTACAATTTTCTTGCGTATTATAAACTTTTATTGAATATTGCATCTTATAATATAATACTCTCCAAATAAATATATCTCGTGTGTCGCACGAGTCACGTACTATATATATCCCGTACATTTTTCTATTTTTCTTTATTCATGTATATAATTATAAGCCTGGATAAATAGCCTTAAAATTGTGCACCCCGTGCATCGCACGGGCTCTGTACTAGTCTTATTTACACGGCATATAAGATAAGAATCCTATTTATTTTGGAGTTGGAGGATAAGATAAGAATCCTATTTATTTTGGAGTTGGGGGATTTACACGGCATATAAGAATCCTATTTATTTTAGAAATATAAGAATCCTATTTATTTTGGAGTAAAGGGTTTACACGCGATATTAGAGTCGGAGAGGATCGGATTAAGTAAAAATCTTATTTATTAAATATTTTATTTTAAACAATTAAGGAATGTATCCGAACCAAAAATCGAAGCATGTAATGTTGTCAAGTAAGTTTTCGAAGCGTGCGAGGCAGCCATTTAGGCTCAACACGTTTTCAAATTATATTAAATTATATTAATAGGGGATGAGATTATATTTTATTAAACATATCTAAATAGAAACTAAGCCAATGCTAACTATTTATGAAAATAGAGAGAAGTATTTATCATTTTAAAGTCTTTCAAGCTACATAAAAATAATAAATGTAAAATGTTTTATCCTCAAAGTAATATAAATTTATTCAATGTTTTTTTTGAAAAAAAAAATGTATAAAAACACGTAAAAGTCTATTTTATTACTCCTTGAAAAAATGTCTGAAAAAATACTAACATGTGCCTTGCAACCGATATATAATATTTATATTTTTCATCTTCTCAACATACTTAGACTCAATCTTCTCATTTGTTTTGAAACGTATTCCAACCAACAATGATATATATATACTTTGTTATACAAACCGATATATAATATTTATATTTTTCAATCACAAGTTTAGCAGAATCATTTATTTAAATAAAAAAAAAAATATCCGTGGACAACAATAAATAAAACAAAAGCTGTGTGAAAAAAAATCAAACAGCCGGATTCTCAGAATCCGTTTTTCCTTGAAACACGAATTATGAGAATCCGTTTTTATTTATTTATTATTTTTTGTTAAAAAACAGATTTTGAAAATCAATTTTTATTTTTTATTTATTTTTTATTTTTTTATAAAAAAAAAACTTAAAAACGGATTTTGAAAATCTATTTTTATTATTTAATTATTTTTTATTTAATAAAAAAAAACTTAAAAACGGATTTTTCCGTTTTTAAGTTTTTTTTTTTAATTTTTTGTTTTTTAAAAGTTAACGGGCGATTACACTATAATTGACCGAGATTGTAGTAATTCGACTTCAATTGGACTAATTCGAATTCAATTACACTATAATTGTCCGAGATTGTACTAATTCGACTTCAATTGGACTAATTTAACTTTAATTGGACTATAATTGACCGAGATTGTACTAATTTGACTTTAATTGGACTAATTCGAGTTCAATTACACAATAATTGACCGAAATTGTATTTGACTTCAATTGGACTAATTCGAGTTCGATTACACTATAATTAGTCCAATTGAAGTCAAATTAGTACAATCTTGGTCAACTATAATTAGTACAATCTCGGTCAATTATAGTGTAATAGACCTCGAATTAGTCCAATTGAATTCGAATTAGTACAATCTCGGTCAATTATAGTGTAATCGACCTCGAATTAGTCCAATTGAAGTCGAATTAGTATAATCTCAGTCAATTATAGTGTAATCGAACTCGAATTTGTCTAATTGAAGTCAAATTAGTCCAATTGAAGTAAAATTAGTACAATCTCGGTCAATTATAGTGTAATTGACCTCAAATTAGTCCAATTAAAGTCGAATTAGTACAATCTCAGTCAATTATAGTGTAATCGAACTCGAATTAGTCTAATTGAAGTCAAATTAGTCCAATTTAAGTAAAAATTAGTACAATCTCGGTCACTTATAGTGTAATCGAACTCGAATTAGTCCAATTGCAGTCGAATTAGAACAATCTCGGTCAATTATAGTGTAATCGAACTCGAATTAGTCCAATTGCAGTCGAATTAGAACAATCTCGGTCAATTATAGTGTAATCGAACTCGAATTAGTCCAATTGAAGTCAAATTAGTACAATCTCGGTCAATTATAGTGTAATCGAACTCGAATTAGTTCAATTGAAGTGGAATTAGTACAATCTCGGTCAATTATAGTGTAATCGACCTCGAATTAGTCCAATTGAAGTCGAATTAGTACAATCTCAGTCAATTATAATGTAATCGAACTCGAATTAATCTAATTGAAGTCAAATTAGTCCTATTGAAGTAAAATTTGTACAATCTCGGTCAATTATAGTCTAATTGAAGTAAAATTAGTACAATTTTGGTCAATTATAGTGTAATCGATCTCGAATTAGTCCGATTGAAGACAAGTTAGTACAATCTCGGTCAATTATACTGTAATCGAACTCGAATTAGTCGAATTAGTACAATCTCAGTCAATTATAGTGTAATCGAACTCGAATTAGTCCAATTGAAGTCCAATTAGTACAATCTCGGTCAAATATAGTGTAATCGACCTCGAATTAGTCCAATTGAAGTCGAATTAGTAAAATCGCGAAGACAAGACAAGAGACCGAGGCGAAATGAGACGAAGGGAAGGAACGAGAGTCATTGACCGGTCGATACATCCCCCCCTTTGGGGGCTATCCTTCCACTTCTCTTTAAGAGCATGCCCCGGAACAAATAATTTCTATGTATTTGTGACCACTACAGAATCCTTCTCTGTCGTAGTTCGGTCAATTATAGTGTAATCGACCTCAAAATTAGTCCAATTGAAGTCGAATTAGTACAATATCGGTCAATTATAGTGTAATCGTCCTCGAATTAGTCAAATTGAAGTCAAATTAGTACAATCTCGATCAATTATAGTGTAATCGAACTCGAATTAGTTCAATTGAAGTCGAATTAGTACAATCTCGGTCCATTATAGGGTAATCGACCTCGAATTAGTCCAATTGAAGTCAAATTAGTACAATCTCGATCAATTATAGTGTAATCGAACTCGAATTAGTCCAATTGAAGTCGAATTACACTATAATTGACCTAGATTGTACTAATTCGACTTCAATTGGACTAATTGGAGTCCGATTACACTATAATTGACCGAGATTGTACTAATTTGACTTCAATTGGACTAATTCGAGGTCGATTGCACTTGACATGCGTCATATTTACGTGCATTTTATAGTGATTTTCGTGTCCGTTTAGTCGTAGTTTGCTATTTAATTTGTTATTATTTAATTAATTATTATATAATTAATTATATATTTAATTAATTTTATTAAGCTATGATGAGGTGTTTTATTTGAGTTTTGACATGAAATAGGAGTGGAATAATTATTGGAGTCGAAAACCCAAAAATCGGCCAAAGAAACGAAGTGGAACCATGAAATGGCCGAGGCCAAGTGCACAAGCCTTGGAGAGAAGTTGGTGATAGGCCCAAATAATGTCTCTAGCTCATTAGATATGATCTCAGCCCACATGGAAATAAGCCCAATTGGTAAAAGTTAGTAAGGGCACACAAGTCATTCGCAAGGAGTGAGATCATCTTCTTCCTCATGTATTTCACGCAGCAATCACCATGGCGCCATCACAGCTCGCGACCAGCCACGGAATCCGCCATGTCCGACCACCGGAGACCACTTTTAAGACCTAAGCAACCATCCTTATCGACGGAGAAGAATCCTAGACGTCAAAAGCACGCCGGAAAAGCGGCGCGACCGGAAGCTGCCGGAATCCGTCATGCACAGCACCTGGAATTTTCTGAGCACCGGAGACAACTTAGCCGACCTCTTTCGACGTGATTTTCACTGGTGGATGCCGGAATATCGTCCAGGAGATAAAAGGCGCGCCGAAAATGGAGTTTAACACTCCCAGGTACACACAGGTCGTGTGAGCCCGAGACACGGCTCGTGTCACTCCGACGGGTCGTATATCGCGCTCTCGACTTTTCCACACGACTCGTGTGGCTTATGACACGAATCGTGTGGCCCTGGACGCATCAGAATCGGATTTTGCGCGTTTTCCTATTTTTTCGGCTTTTTCGACCTATTTCGACTAGGACTCGATCTCGACTATTTATACAACTCTTGGACACGTTTTTTAGGGGGCTGGGACATAATTTTCACATCTTTGGAGACTCTTGGAGGCTAGAAACACGAGCAAGACGAGGGAGAAAGCCGGGAAGAAAGGATCGACGGAGCCGAATAAGCTTTTTCTTTCTTTTTCTTTTCCTCTTTCGAACTCAATCTTTTATATCTATTTTTCTCATTTTGAAAACATGTTTCTAGGCTAGAGTTATCTTAGATTCTAGGATTTGTTAGTACTCGGATTGATTTATGATTTAGTTTTTATTTCATTCCGGTTTATCTTTCGTTTATAAATTTCTTGTGCTTATTATTATTGTGTGAGTAGACGGCCGCTATGAATGCATATTTGTAATTGATTTGAGACCGAGAGGAGATAATTGATTGCTAGAACTTGGAGATTTATAACGTAAGAGAATAAACAGACCGAGAGGTTGATAGGACCTTACGAGAGAACGAAAATCCTAGGAACTTATGGGAGTTAGTTGTTCATCTTGAGACCGAGAGAAGATAGATACAATTAATATCTACGATTTAACTTGTTCGAGAGAAAGGTTTGAAATCAATTAAGCGATTATCTCTACGATTGGTAAAATTAAATAAGGTTTGTTTGAATATAAACGTTTCATGAATTAATTCCGAGGAAAGCATAACCTAGAATCTAGCTTTTGTATCTTATTTTATTTTTATTTTTTTAGATAAATTAGTTTCTAGTTTAATTCTTAGTTTATAATCATCATTCAATTCACTAGTCTAGATAATATTTAATCGTCACTATTTTATTACTTAATTATTTAACTACAATCTCTGTGGAATACGACATTGCTCGCCACTACCTATACTCTATAGCTACTCCGTACACTTGCGGAAAGCGAAAATAATTAGCGAACAACACTATAGTTGACCGAGATTGTACTAATTCGACTTCAATTGGACTAATTCGAGTTCGATTACACTACAATTGACCGAGATTGTACTAATTCTAGTTCGATTACACTATAATTGATCGAAATTGTACTAGTTGGATTTCAATTGGACTAATTCGAGGTCGATTACACTTTAATTAATCGAGATTGTACTAATTCGACTTCAATTGGACTAATTCGAGGTCGATTACACTATAATTGACCGAGATTGTACTAGTTCGACTTCAATTGGACTAATTCGAGGTCGATTACACTATAATTGACCGAGATTGTACTAATTCGACTTCAATTGGACTAATTCGAGTTCGATTACACTATAATTGACTGAAATTGTACTAGTTGGACTTCAATTGGACTAATTCGAGGTCGATTACACTATAATTGACTGAGATTGTACTAATTTAACTTCAATTAAACTAATTCGAGGTCGATTACACTATAATTGACCGAGATTGTACTAATTGGACTTCAATTGGACTAATTCGAGGTCGATTACACCATAATTGATCGAGATTGTACTAATTTGGCTTCAATTGGACTAATTCGAGGTCGATTACACTATAATTGATCGATATTGTACTAATTCGACTTCAATTGGACTAATTCGAGTTAGATTACACTATAATTGACCGAGATTGTACTAATTCGACTACAATTGGACTAATTCGAGGTCGATTACACTATATTTGACCGAGATTGTACTAATTTGACTTCAATTGGACTAATTCGAGGTCGATTAGACTAATTCGGACTCGATCAATTAGAGTGTAATCGAACTCGAATTAGTCCAATTGAAGTCCAATTAGTAAATTGAGTGAATTGCACAATCGACTCTTAAAAAGACTTCTATATTTTCTCTCTCTTCTCTCTTTGCGAAACCCTTGTCTCCCAAATCTCCGCCGCTCGATTCCAGTTAAATCTCCGCCTCCCCTCCGCTAATTTCTCTTCCCCACCATGGGGATACCTTCATCGGGGTGATAATGAGTGGTCTGTCAGTCCGTTTTTGCTCCCCTGTCCGGCATGGCTCTTCGCCGTCTTCTACTGGTGGCCATGGTGGGTTTTATCAGGGGTGCTGACGGATTTGGAGGGTGCTCGTCATCGCCGGCATGTCTGCTGCCTTGGTGGTGGATGAGCTTGAGGTCTGTGTTGCTTTGAGCCTCCCTTGGTTCCTATCCTCCCCTGGTGCTGGGGGGAAAGGTCCGATGGTGTCGCGGTGGTGCTGCAGTCGGTGTGGTTGCCACGGTCGCCGGTTTGGCGGTGGGGGGTCCAAGGTGTTGGTCTCGCGATGAGGTCTCGGGGAGGCTCCTTTGGGACGGGTTCCGACTCGTGTGGACAGGTTCTAGTTAGGCCTTATGCAGTTTCTAGATCTTGGCTGGAGTTGTGAATTTGTCTGTTGTACGGGTGCCGTCTCGCTTGGTGGTTCTTGGAGTTATGTTGCCGGATGGGGAGGGCTTAGTAGTTTATCGTTTCTTTTAGCTTGTTTTTTCGATTCTGTGATTGTTGTTTTGTTGATTTGCTTAGGTTGTTTTGTTTGTTGTGTTTTTGGTTTTTGTGTTGTGTTTTCTCTCTCGTAGGGGAGCGTGTTTTTCTCCCGTTGGGGAGCGTGTTGTTCTCTCGTAGGGGAGCTTGATATTCTCTCATAGGAGAGTTTCTTTCTCCAGTTGTGGAGTTTGTTTGTTTTTGTGTTGTTAGTGGGTGTATTGTTTCTAGGCAATCCTCTGGATTTGTCCTCCCACTAGATTCGGCTCTTGAGCTATCTTATTCGGCTTCTGGGCTGTTTTCTAGATGTATGTATTTGTTGTTTTTATAAAATTTCTATCTCTTCGAAAACAAAAAAGTCCAATTAGTTCAATCTCGGTCAATTATAGTATAATCGACCTCCAATTAGTCCAGTTGAAGTCGAATTAGTACAATCTCGGTCAATTATAGTGTAATCGATCTCGAATTAGTCCAATTGAAGTCGAATTACACCTAGATTGTACTAATTCGACTTCAATTGGACTAATTCGAGGTCGATTACACTATAATCGACCGAGATTGTAATAATTCGACTTCAATTGGACTAATTCGAGTTTGATTACACTATAATTGATCTAGATTGTACTAATTTGAGTTCAATTGGACTAATTCGAGGTCGATTACACTATAATTGACCGAGAATGTACTAATTCGACTTCAATTGGACTAATTCGAGTTCGATTACACTATAATTGACCGAGATTGTACTAATTCAACTTCAATTAGACTAATTCGAGTTTGATTACACTATAATTGACCGAAATTATACTAGTTTGACTTCTATTGGACTAATTCGAGGTGATATACTATAATTGACCGAGATTGTACTAATTCGACTTCAATTGGACTAATTTGAGGCCGATTACACTATAATTGATCGAGATTGTACTAATTTGACTTTAATTGAAATCCGTTTTATCTGTTTATAATTTTTTTTTTATAATCCGTTTTTATTTTTATTTATTTTTTATTTATTTATTTTAGAAAAAACTTAAAAACGCACTAAAAAAAACTGAAAAACGGTTTTTCAAAATCCGTTTTTCATTTTTTTTACATAAATAAATAAAAAATAAAAAAAATAAATAAATAAATAAATAACGATTTCCAGTATTTACCGGTCATAGATGTAAATCGGTGGCTTAATTTTCCACTATTGCGTGGCCCGTGCGATGCACGGGGAAACAATATTACGATTGTATTATAAATTAAATATATATATAAGTTGGCTTTTTTTTTTCATCTAATAATCCCGTTGAAGAAAGTGTTGCACCATACAATTTTTTTTGTTCTAATAAATCTGGACGGAAATTGATAATTTTTTTTATTTTTCATCTAATAATCCTGTTGAAGAAATTGTTTGCACCCGTAGCTAAATTTTTGCTTTTGTTCTAATAAATCTGGACCAGAACTATTGGAATTTTGCGTTCTAATAAATCTGGACCTGAACTATTGGAAATTGAAAAACGTGTTGCAGACATCCTTTCAAGAGTTATCAATATTATTTTAGGTTAGAATATGGTATTTGATATATAAATGAACAAATTACATTATTATTATTTTTATCAACCAATTATAATATATATGTATCAATAACTAATAGTATATCTGTATAGATACATTTATATAGGTGACAAAGTTTAACATGTTTATTGATAGTTAGTATATATTTATTAATAGATATTTATGCTTTTATTTATGTTATGGAGAATGGTGAAGGGTGATAGAGATTAACATAGAATATTTGAACATTATTGGAGATGTTTTAAAAATTGTTTTACAAGATTATTTTAAGATTTTAGATGCTTTTAATATACTAAGTACATTGAAGAGCATACAATTTTATCTAAGTAAATTTTCACTAAGAATTGATAAATATTTTATCAAAGAAACTTTATCAGTATTGATACTTTTATGTGCTATATATCAATTATATTGAGGTGTAAACGCTTTAAATATATAAAATATATGGGCTTTTACACAAGTAAATTTTCACGAACAATTGATAAATATTTGTCAAAATTTATCAATTTGTAGGTGTTATGTTCGCAAAATGATAGTGAATAATCTTGCTTTTAATTAAAATATATGGGCTACTGCACCGTTTATTGCTCAGTGTTAATTGAACTTTTTATACTTGAAAAGTTAACTAAAAGGTTATATCAAATTTTCAAATAATATTTAAAAAATTATTTTTATTTTTATTTAAAATGATAATCATTACGTGTAAGATTTGCTCTTTTTATTTTATAACAAACTTTTTAACTTATATCATATATTAGACTTGATTAATAAATTTATTAATGATTAATTATTTTGTTAATTTTCAATTAGGATATGTTAGATAATCTCTTTATATATTAATTCAAAACGTGGTGAGCTTAAGTGGCAGACTCGCATACTTCGAGTTCCTATGTGGCAAAATTATATGGTTCGATAGCTGCTATAAAGAGGGAGTTGGCAGAGGTAGAATCGGCATATGTCTGTTTCGATTCACCTGATAATATTTGCTTAACACATTGATCGCCAGTAAAATGACCTTCGACTAATTTCGGCTCTTCGTAAAAAATAGGAGGCCCGTTATAAACCTCTGCCGCCGAAAAAACCTCGATCTCCTAAGCAAATAAAGCACGTGACCCCGCCCCTCGTGGACATGCCGCTTGCCGGTGGCCAAAATCACCGCATCTAAAACAACGTGGCCCGTTGCCCGTACGCTCGCCCACCAAAACTCCCACAGAGGCCGTCGCACTGCCCAGGCCCGAGCTATGATACCAACTGATGTAGAGCCAGGGGCGTACGCAGACTTTAAGGACAACGGGGGCACAAACTACGGTCAACAGTCAATGCCGGATGTCAACAGTCAAATCAATATTTAACCAATTAAAAAGAAAAAGATTAAATCTTGACCAGACACCTTGTTTTTTATTTATTAACTAGAATTGACTCTCACATTCTCTTTTTAATAATAGAGACACATTTGATCCAATCCCTATATAGTATATACATTTATGTATAGTATTTGTTTTTTATGTATTTTGGGAGGGAAAACGAAATAAACAAGAAGGTGAGTATAACATAAGTATAAATTCCACAACTTAAAAAATAACATACAATTGAAGGTTAAATAATTCTAAACATTTAATTTTTATTTTTTATATTAAAATAACTTTGCATAATAATTAATAACATAATTTTCTTTATCTCAATATAATAATACATTTATACATATAACATATATATATTATATTACTAAAAAAGTTCTACAGGGGCCCGTGCCTCTACGGGCCCCTATGTAAGTCCACCCCTGTGTAGAGCGTGGTAGACGAAAAGGAATACGAGATATAAAATCACGTGAAATATCGATAATCTTATGAATGAAATGTCTGTTCCCCTCGCTCTAACAAAAGAATCATACTTCTCCTATTACTACTTATCTTGCCTAACAAGATAGGCTAGATATTTGATTATGAACATGAAAGCTTGTGTTAAACCTTTTGTTGTGGTTGATTTCATCATGATAAGCTAATCCTTTAGCTAGGGGCTAGGGGATAATCATTCCGGTTTGTTCTCGTTTATGTGCATGACGATAACTCAATCTTTGCGAGTTGTTTTAATTAGGAATTGATAAAATCATGTTTAATAATTCGATATAACCTAAGAGTGACATTTAGGAAAATTTATTAATATAATCGAAGAGTGACACTCGATTTTGCACGATTGAATATTGATTTATTAAGTTAGAGTTTGTTGATTCTACATGATTAGTTGATTAAACACCTTCTAATCGAATCAACGACTTTTAGAACCAAAAGGGGAGGAGTCGTAGAGTTAATCGATTTCAAAACCGAGAGGGGAGAAATTGGTGGAACTTGGCTCGTTTAGAGTAGACATGTTCGGAGACGTATTGTCTATGTATTAATTGTTTCGTTAATTTGCTCGTTTATGTTTATCTGCATGTTACGAAGAGTTATTGAGGTTAAACCGCTAAATGAGCTAATTAGTCGAGTTATAGATTGTCGATAAATGTGTGTAGAACCGGAAATGATCGTCCCCGAAACCCTAGCTCATTTATTTATATTTGAACCGTATATATCTACTTGAGTTGTGTTTTCGAGTTGTGACATTTAAATAGCTCTATTTACATTTCATTAATTGATAATCCCATCCGACAAATTGAATTAGAGTGTGTAGGATTTTATCTTTAAAAGAAGGATCCTGGGAGGAAGGTTATTTTTGTATTTTGGACAACTAACTAGCAAACGAAGCTCCGAACCGTCTTCCTTTGAGAGACGATCCGAGTCCGAATAACTCGGTTACCAAATTATCCCACCACAAAATATTGCACAACAGCATCTACAGATGTTGGCATTTGAAGGTACCTGGAAAGCTTAAACATTTCATGTGGAAATGCCTTTCAGGGACTCTGCCTGTATCTATGAATCTGAAGAAGAGAGGGCTTGATGTTGATACCACTTGTACATAATGTGGTGAAGAACCTGAATCAATTGAGCATCTACTCTTTCAATGCCCTCGAGCTATGCAACTTTGGAAATTAGCACCAGTGGTATATCTTATGCTTCAGACTCCTTAAGCCATTGGTGGCAGCAGGTCAGTTTACTAGATAAATCAGACACATCAGAGACGCGGATACAATTGACAACTTACATGCTCTGGTGGCTCTGGAGATCTAGAAACTTTTGGTTATTCCAAAACACTTTAATCCCCATTCACATTGTCTGCAGGGTGGCTCACAAGGATTAGCTAGAGTTCTCTTCTATTGTTTAGTTAGTTGTGTGGTAGTTTGGTTGCCTTTTGATAGTTTGCTGTGTATTTTCTTGGTGCTTGTGTCTGGGAATTGGGGTGTCTATGTGGCAGTGGCTGAACTCTTAATTCTTGATTAGGTTCTTTTTTTGTCTCTTTTGGTGTTTGATTGTGAGGTTCTAAACCACTTTGTAGGTGTGCCTCTCAGGTTTATGTTTCGGTTGCCATTTGGGGATTCCCCAGTGTATGAACTTTGTTATTTCTTGATATATATANTAACTCATTGCCATAAAAGATCCCTACAAACAAATGAACTGCAAAAATAATCTTTCCCACCACAGGGGATGATAACAACAGAAAAAAAATTAAAAATCTTAGAACTCACCCTAATATAAAGACACAAAAACACCAATTCCACATTAAGCTACAAATTTCCCCATTTAGGACCTAAACTCCAATGCCAAACCTCATCTCACTTAAAGTCCTAATCTTTTTCCTTTCATCTCTCTCAAACTTACTAAACTCCTCATAAAATCTTCTGTCTTTTTTCCTCCTCCCTACCACCAGCTAAAATTACCAGTCTACCCCTCCCTACATTCGCCCGCCCGCCTGGCATTACAACACTACTGTACAAAAAAACCAACGAACAAAGAAATCGGAAAGCAAACTCCATGAATTCGAATCCAACAATCCACGACAAACCAAAAACAAGCATAAAGAAGCATTATCACGGGCTCTGAACAATACCGGGCTTCTTCGTGGGCTCGGGCCCACCTTTGCACCTCATCTCGAGTACCTTCTTGTGCGAGTTCGAGTGAAGCGCCGGCACAAATGTCGGGCTCGCCGCCGGTCGGTACTCTGGAAACAGCCGGCCCGACTTGTGGCGGACCCCACACGCGTTGCAAAGAGTCTTCGGGCCCATTGGGCCCGATCGCCACTGTGGCGTCTTTGTGATCTCACAGTGCATGCACTTCCGGATCGGGACTTCCTTCGTGGGCCCGGTGGCAGCTGCCCTGATTTTCTTCTTCTGCTGCTTCTGTTTGGGCTGGGATGGGCCCAGGCCCAATTCGACGAGCTGGATTGTGGGCCTGGCGGCGAAGGTCACGGGCCGGGGGCGTTTGCTTCGGGCCTTCTGGGGCCCACGGCAAGGATTTGGGCTGAGCGGCGGCTCGGTTTTCTCGACCGAGCAGGAAGAGGTGCTGCTTGTGGTGCTCTCGAGTACGGAGATTGGGCTCGAAGTTTGGAAGTGTTTGTGATTGGGCCCGTCGTTTGTTTCTGCAAACGGGGGCCCACTGTTTTTTCCGATGGTTAGTCCACCGCATGAATACGAGTCCTCGACAAAAGTCGAGAGCCACTCGAGTTGCGCAGTATCCTCGTACTGAAAACAAGATAACATGTAGGACGGGCGTTAGATGAAGATAGTAACACAGTACAATAAAGATTGAATTTTTTTAAGCTATGTTTGATGAACTTAGTTGATCAGCTTATAGCTTTTAAGTGAATTTTGATCTTATAATAACTTATGATTTATAATAACTTATGATTTATGGCTGAAAAGTTAGCTTATATGATTAAAGTGTTTGGTAAAATTAGTTGAAATAAAAATTTCAATAGGCTTATTTGAAAAACTACCTAAAGAAGTTTATGAGATAAGCGCTCGTCCTACCAAACTAAACTTATTTGAATGCAGGAAACTTATGTACTAATCAAATAAGCTTACCAAACAGAGTCTTAATGGCAACCGACAATCAATATGCTTTTTGCTATGCAATGGACCACAAAACCACACTTTGAATTTGGAAACAAGCAAACACAATTTGAAGATTGGAATCAATGAGTAGCTCCCCACAGCATATTATGTGTGAATGCAACATGTCAAAGTATTCAAGTTGGAGTAAAATTTTCATATTATTTGATAAACTTAGGAAAATTAAGTAGAAGAGCAAAAGGTAAATATCAAAATGGAAGATTAACAATTACTCCAAGCAGCAAGCAATGCAGTCAAGTTTTGATATAACTGCCTTTCCACAAGTCCTGTTCATCAAATATTAACTTTTTTGTATCAACAATTACAATATTATACAATGTAATAATTTTCCCAATACGATTAATTAAGAACTCTTTGAATACTTATGATGTAACAAAACCAGCAGCATCAACAAACTTTGCCCCACTTTTATTCATAATTCAGACAGCCAAACATGATTGAATAATCACCAAATCATAACCAATAACAGCAACAATTCGCCAAAAATATCGAATTCGTTAGTTCTTCAATTTAAATTTCTTCAATCAATCATGCCACAAAACAATCAAAACTAACTTGATTGTAAAAATATCTATGCATTAAAATTACAATTATCCTAAATATAATTTCAAAGCATTACTCAAAAGAATAGACAGATTTATTTGAGGATTTGGACTTGCATACAAAGCGATTAACCAAAACCGGTAAATGCTCACCGGAAACGAGAGCTCAGTCAAGAGATCGGACGGCAAATCGCCTGGGAAAAGTGGGTCGGGTTCGGAAAACGGGTTGCTCCACATGCTCGGTAAAACCTTTGACTCGGATGACCCAATAAAATTACCACATTCGCTGTCGGGTGGGAACTCAATCAAATCATCAATTTGATCAAAGAAGTTTCCACTGTCAATCTCATCTATCATGTTCAGCCCCATTGTTCTAATTATTCTTTTGTTTTTAACCTGAGAAGAATCAAAAGCATAAAAGAATTTAGGAAAAAACTTGATAGAGAAGTATAATGAAATAACTTAAATATGTTGTAATTAGAATGGAGGAACGAGAAAAATGTGGAAGTTATTGCTAATGATGCTCTACAGATTTTCACTGATTTTTCAGTTAAAGCAATAATATTTGGATTTTTGTTACCTAGAATGTAAAAATCTAGAGACTATGTGATGAGATACTGAATATCTTTTGCCAATGCTCAAATAATTTAAAATCTTGAAACGAGAACAGATAATTGTTTGAACAAATTATGCAAATAGAATGCAATAATTCTAAAGCCAATTTTAGGATGCACCGACACTTAAATTTTCTCATTTTTCAACTGAAAAAATGACCAAGGGAACAAAGCCAATTGTTTTCAGAACTTTCAGAAAGCAAACAAAAAAAGTAACAAAATATCAAGAGTTTGTGGCTTCAAATTAAGGAAAAAAATCGAATCTTTTTTCCTTTTTTTTCTTGCAATTTGAAGTGAAATGGGCCTAAAACTCGATCTTTTTCACTTTTTATCTGGCATCAATAAAAGGGTTTTCCTTCTTGAGCTGGAAACCAGGGAAAATTTCAAACAGAACAAACATTACTGAAAAAAATCTTCAACTAGAACTAGCATCTTTTTTTTTTTTTTTGCA